ATGTAGGAAGTAATGTTTCTGGTCAATCTATAATTTTCACATCTAATTGCATGGAAAGTAAGGTATATAATATGTAATAGAATGAATAACGAATCAAGACTGCATGAGAATTACACAGAAAACACTCTAGACCGACCTGGTTTTTTATCCTGTTTGAAAGCATATTGGGTGAGCAGCGTTTAACACAATGATTAATACAGATTTTCATAAGTTCAGACTTAACATAGAGAATAATAATGCTAATTACGTTCTCGAGTTATTATAAACACGTTTGTGTATTTAATATTGTAAACACTAACAGACGATCGCATAGCTCTAACAAATTTATTGTTATTAGATTTTTAAAGTTAATGCAAGAAAAAAAGGAATAATAACGAATGGATGATGTAACAATTATTATTGCGAACTGTAAGGAAAAAATTTGTTACTTAGGCCGAACTGTCGGACGGGTGCAGTAATGATGATGGATGCATGGGTGGCAGTGATTTGGAAGGAGAAGGAAAGCAAGTGTTGGTTGGAGTCTGTGCAATGGCAAAGAAGTCGCAGAGTAAACCGATGAAAGAAATATTGACGAGATTAGAAGAATTTGAATACATTAAAATAGTGGTATTCCCTGAAGAAGTGATCTTAAAGGTAAGACGAAAGATGGACAAAAGATTTGTGGATTTGTTCCTTCATGAAAATATATGTTTGCAGGAATTTGTAGAAGATTGGCCAATCGTTGATTGTTTAATAAGTTTCCACAGTAAAGGCTTTCCGCTGGACAAAGCTATAAATTATGCTAATCTTCGAAGTCCTTTCATTATCAATAATCTACCGATGCAGTATGATATTCAGGTAAAAGTAGGTTACGTAAGTAGACAAGGATTAAAATTAACTCATTTGCATCCGCAAGCGCAATATTTTAAGATTAGTTCCTAAACTTGATAACTATCGCCGCATACACGTAGATACTACGCTATTCGGCCTACATTTGTAACTTGGTGATAGGTGACAACATCTGGTCTGGTAACAATCATCGCACGTGGATTATTCCGCTTGCGGATGCAAATGGGTTAATCGGATTACGAGGCTTGAAATTCACGTATAATTTGATATCACAGGATCGCAGGAGAGTTTATGCTATTCTCAGTAGCGAAGGTATCGAGATTCCAAGATATGCCGTTCTAGATAGAGATTCATCCGATCCGAAACGTATGCGTTATAGTTTCTGACTATACCTGTTGTTGGACTTATACGCATAAAAAACGGACTCTTTTTTTTTTTTTAGATCATGAACTGGTGGAGTCGGAAGATCATGTGGAGGTCAATGGTGTCACGTTTAACAAACCATTTGTGGAAAAACCAGTGTCCGCCGAAGATCATAACATTTACATTTATTATCCTACATCTGCAGGTGGAGGCAGTCAGAGATTATTCAGGAAGGTATTATCCATTAATGGATAATTGTTAACAGAGCATAATTATACCTCGCACCTGTTTCACAGATTGGAAGCCGCAGTAGCGTGTATTCGCCAGAATCCCGAGTACGCAAAACTGGTTCTTACATTTATGAAGATTTTATGCCTACCGATGGGACAGACGTTAAAGTTTACACGGTGGGGCCGGACTATGCACACGCCGAGGCCCGGAAAAGTCCTGCATTAGACGGTAAAGTCGAAAGAGACTCGGAAGGAAAAGAAATTCGGTATCCTGTTATATTAAGTAATGCTGAGAAACTGATAAGTAGGAAAGTATGTTTAGCTTTCAAGCAAACAGTTTGCGGCTTCGACTTGCTTAGGTGAGCAGAAGTTTTCTTACAATTGATTCAAAGTGTACCGATAATCAACCTAAATGGAAGCTTTTAAATTGATTCAGAGCCAACGGCCAGTCGTTCGTCTGTGACGTGAATGGTTTCAGTTTTGTCAAAAATTCGAACAAATACTACGACGATTGCGCAAAGATTTTGGGAAATATGATTCTCAGGGAATTAGCACCTACCTTGCACATACCGTGGAGTGTTCCGTTTCAGTTGGATGATCCACCAATCGTACCCACGACATTTGGAAAGATGTTGGCATATTCTTCTGCTTCTGCTTCTTCTTCTTCTTATCTTTCTAAAATTTAAATTTAAATTTTATCTTCCTCTATTAGATAAGCTGCATTTTTACTAATATCTTTATATCGTTACAGGATGGAATTACGTTGTGTTGTCGCTGTCATAAGACACGGTGACAGAACACCAAAACAAAAAATGAAGGTGGAAGTTCGTCATCCGAAGTAGGTTTTTCTAGATATTGAAGCGTGGTATCATCGTTTTATATATGGTTTACTCTTTGCACTAGATTCTTTGAGATATTTGCAAAATACGACGGGTACAAGCATGGTCACATCAAGTTAAAACGACCTAAACAATTGCAAGAGATATTGGACACAGCTAGGAGTCTACTGGCTGAAATACAGCACAGGGCTGCAGGACCAGAATTGGAAGAAAAGCAAGGAAAACTCGAACAATTGAAAAGCGTCTTGGAAATGTAAGTGTTTCGTATTACTTTCGCCGAGTACATACGTTGTTCTTGATCATTTAGCGATATTGCTTTAATTTGAAACGATCAATATTCGTCCCAGGTATGGCCACTTCTCAGGAATTAATCGTAAAGTACAAATGAAGTATCAACCAAGGGGACGACCGAGAGGAAGTTCCTCGGATGATGGTACAAAAAGTAACACATTCTTTTCACGTTACCAAGCTCGATATTCATCGGATATCACGTATCTTGTTAATTTTCTTTAGATCGACTGGGGGAACCGTCGCTTGTACTTATTCTAAAATGGGGCGGAGAATTAACACCCGCCGGTCGCATTCAAGCAGAGGAATTAGGAAGAATATTTCGCTGCATGTACCCCGGTGGTCAAGGTAGACACCTTAGTGGTTCGTATCTTATGTTCATACGCTTGCCATAATCATTTTTAAGTTACCTCATACGCCACAAAAAATTTATTTTCTTTAATAAGTATTTGACAAGTTGGCTGAAATTTATAACACTGCTATAACTTACATAGCGTACGTGTAAAATATTGTATGAGTTCGAGCTGATTTATCCAGGTGAAAAGTACTTCTTTCTCTCAACTATTAAAAAAGAAGCTAGCGAAAGTATGACAAATTTCGTAATTTAATGTAACTCGAGTTGTAATCGTTTTATTGTTAGCTATAAAGATAGCGATGAACACCTATATGTTTTTGTTCTCAAAGGAAATCTTTGATTCACAAACAATTTCAAATATTATTTCAGAGGAAGACTCAGAGATGTTACCAAACCACGGTAACTGTTTATTCTGAATCAACGCTTGTTCCGTAGTTGTCTGTAGATTGTGTCATAATGCATAGCATAGTAATAGCGTGTTCGGTTATTTCATCATAATGCAGCAATCAGAAACAGCATTCAGAATATACCTGTGCTAACTGTATGCGCACTCCACAACATTGCAATGAATTGTTGTATAATTTTATAGTAGTTGCTTATGCAAAATTTATGTAGCATTAAATGTATCTACTTCGTTCGGAAGTAAGTCTGTTAGTAGTGTTTCACAGTCCATACATTCTTAAACAAAGTTGCACACACGTATGCATTGTTCTAGTTTTTTTTCCGAAACATGAGCATTCATTTTTGTTTTATGGAATATATAAAACAAATACAAAAATTCATTGGAAGAGACGAATAAAAAATACCGAATATATATTCATACAAATCAGTCTACAAGTAGTCGCAAATGTGTTCATTAGTTGAAGACAGTCATCGACATATCATGAATGACTCTAGATTCTTCGTGTGTACGCGCGAATCGATACTTTATAATCGAATTTATACAGTTGTTAGCTATGATCTTCTTACCAGAACATAGATCACTCGCAGATTCATACTCGTACTCTATGTTCGTCAAGATTCGAAGATATGTTTTCACTTCGTTTTGTCGTTTCAATATATGACAATATTTTCTTCTATGAATATAGGTGATTACGCCGGTGCTCAAGGTTTGGGTTTGCTACGTCTTCATTCAACGTTCCGTCATGATTTGAAAATCTATGCAAGCGACGAGGGAAGGGTTCAAATGACTGCAGCAGCCTTTGCAAAAGGCTTACTCGCTCTGGAGGGCGAATTGACACCCATATTGGTCCAAATGGTCAAAAGCGCAAATACTAATGGTCTCCTGGACAATGATTGCGACAGTAGTAAATACCAGAACATGTACATAACAAGCGTTAAGGTATTCTGTAGGAATAAATTTCACGAACTGACGAGTGTCATTTCACAGGGTGAAAACGAAACTTCACGAACTGTTGCAACAGGACAGGGACTTTACTCGCGAGGACAGGGAGCAAATAAATCCTGGGAACGCGTTGAGTATCAATGCAGCCTTGGATTTCGTTAAGAATCCTGTTCGATGCTGTCAACATGTACATATCTTGATTCAGAAGCTGATGGACATTGTAAGAATTAAGAAAGATGATTTGAAAACGAAAGGTATTATATCAAATCTGATTACAATTAAACGTGTACATCGTATTATCTTACATGCGTGTTTGAACAAACTTTGGATATGGTGGATATTATCTGATACATGTACGTTTAGATGCGATTCTTTATCACGGCGAGACTTGGGAGTTAATGGGCCGTCGATGGGGAAAGATCGAAAAGGACTTTTGTACCAAGAACAAGAGATTCGATATATCAAAAATACCCGATATTTACGACTGCATCAAGTACGATTTGCAACATAATAATCATACGTTGCAATTCGAGCACGCGGAAGAGCTGTATATTTACTCGAAATATTTGGCAGACATTGTTATACCACAGGCAAGACGTTCTATGTATACTTTATCTTCGAATTTAATCTCATTTATAATTGAACTTCAGTTATTAGCTTTTCAAAATTTAATACTCTGATTCGTCCTTATTTGCGATAGGAGTATGGATTAACTGTACAAGAAAAGTTAACCATAGGTCAAGGTATTTGCACGCCGCTTTTAAAGAAGATCAGAGCTGATTTGCAAAGAAACATCGAAGAGTCTGGAGAAGAAACGGTGAATCGGCTCAATCCAAGGTACAATTTAGGAATCCGAGGTATCGCAGCTTACTTTCCTGAAATTTCTGTACAATGGGATCAATGTTATAGATATTCTCATGGTGTTTCGAGTCCGGGCCGACACGTGCGCACCAGATTATATTTTACAAGCGAGAGTCATGTGCACTCTTTGTTAACAGTGTTACGTTACGGCGGCCTGCTTGATGTAAGTAACGATTGCTAGTGTTTGCATTTTTTGTATTCCTTAAAAAAATTACAGGTAGTAAAAGACGAGCAATGGCGCCGAGCTATGGAGTACGTTAGCATGGTATCCGAATTAAATTACATGTCGCAAATCGTAGTCATGCTATACGAAGATCCAACCAAGGATCCCAGCAGCGAAGAACGTTTCCATGTCGAGTTGCATTTCAGTCCTGGCGTAAATTGTTGCGTACAGAAAAATTTACCGCCAGGGCCAGGGTTCAGACCTCATTCGCGAAACGAGAGTAGTCACAATATAGTAAGTTGATCGAATTATCGCCTTGAATAATCTACACAACAGAAATACAAAAATATCTACACCTATATTTATATGTTTTTAGGGCGAAAGTGGGGGTGGATCTACGCAAGATACCATTTCCCAGTGTAGCGCACGGATAGAAGAAGAAGATGTTGAATTGACAATTTCAGACGACGATTTCATGAATCCACCTGTACAATCTGTATGCATTGATTCGGCGTTACGAAGCATTTTTTTTTTAGCAGGCATTAATTAGTATAGCACGATAGGTTTCATTTTACGCCTCTGCTTAAATTTTGATTTCGATTTTGAAGGGAGCGAACTAGATTACCGATCGAATCATTGTCATAATTAATTTCAATTTAAAGAATACTCCCCCGCTGATGATGGAAACCGACACGGCAGATTCGATTATGGATAGTCCAACAACCAGCAGAGCCGTCGATATGATGGACCTGGATCCCAACATGATGGACGAGCCATTCGATAGTGGTTTCTTGCAGAGCTCTGCGCCCATTCCAATAAGGTATTCGAGCGTACAACGCAAGAAGAAACTGTAGAATCTACGATAACTCGGCAAAATACTTTTTAGTGCTAGAACAGTGGCAGGTCATGAAGCAGCTAGACTCGGTAGCCAGCTGGCTGCCAGTCAACGTCAACGACGCGATGCTGATAGAGGTGGGATCGTAGAGCCACGTGCACGTAGTTACGATCATCAGAGACAAGATAAGCCTGAGAAAGGTAAGCGCGTTGGTCGACTTCGACCGGTAGTGTAAATATTTTGTCCAAGCAATCATCGATCGATGCTAATATCTTTGAATATGCATGATAGATATCTACGAGCACTTCACTTTTTGAATATATAACACAGATTCAAGGACCTGTGTAAATATCTATCGCATACACCTTAGGCGCTGAGTATGTTAGAACGAGTTAGCAAAAAACATTGTTTCAAAGCAAAATTAATTACGGTCATTTTTTGGAGAAATTTGTTGGTCGCCAGAAATTTACGATTAGATATCTTTTTATCACAAAGTGTGGTGTTTTTTCATGTCTTTTTATAGCTGCGGACAAGCTGCAGTATCAGAGCTTGGACGCGGTCAACAAGGAAGGTATGTCAACAAAGACTTCCTACTATGACACTATAGCAGGACGTTACGATAACGTTGAAACAAATGTTGTCTTTTCTTTTCTTTTCTTTTTTAATTAGTGTTCGATGCAGGATTTCTATGAAATCTGAATTTATACACGTATAATTTCCATGATTCCACTCTTTGTATCTTCACACGGAAGAACAATTTATTGTTTTTTCTTATTTTCTTCTAGAAGCATCTAGACCATTAGAAAAATTGATCTGTGCTTCTTCGATAAAAATCTTTAGTTGCGACGTAGACTGCTGCAATTTGCGTTCTCTATATTAGTTCCCATTATGGATGTAGCATCTTCACGCATTTATGGGTGCCCCGATACAGTGACCACAGAATATGCGATACACACCATATAGTAGTCCCTTAGTGTCATGCCGAACATCCTGGATATTACAATGTTCTTTTTCTTAATATTATAAGTGTCACTTTCTGTTTAATTACACTGATTTCTTTCTGTATTATAGCATACGATTGTGTTTCGATAACAAGCCAATTATGTTACCGCAGTAAAATTGATTTTAGTTATTTGGTTAAAGCATAATTTACAAGTCAAAGCTTGAGTAACAAAAAGCTAATTAATTGGATACAACGGAGCAACCTTCCAGACATAGGCTGATAAAGGAAAATTCAGTTGAAATAACTCTTTGCTCAGCGATAGTTGTGCGCGTGGAAGCCAACTAATTTATGTCGGCGACTGTTTGAGTTACACACAGAAACTGAAATGTCGCGTGACTCATTCAGTTGTCCTCCTGATTATTCCCTCATATTCCTGAGCTCACTTTTCCATCAGGATTTGCAATTAACAGAGCTTAGTTGTTTTCGAAGATCGTGTCTGCTTGTTTTTTCTTTCTCTTTTTTTTTCTAATACATGTAACTGTTAACACCTCAATCTCATCGTACAATCATACGTTCATAATTCTTTTGCATTCCATCTCATTTCGTTGATCGTTCGTTTCAAATTCTTGAGATCATTTTCTCGATAGTATATCACTAGTATTTTGTTGTCGATTACAATAACAAGTAGTTTCGTGTTACATGTATTTAGATTTTTCTCTGCTATGCCAACTTTTCTTTATCGACGATAGAAACTCTAAATATGTATCAAGTTTTCTGTTCTTAGATCAAACACGTTGATGGCAATCGAATTCTCGAAGTACCCGGTGGTGGAAACTTTTACGACAGAAATTCGAATTTAACAAACAAAGCTTCTGGAGCCTTTGGTTGCCATCGGTCTAACCATTCATCGTCATGATTTCCGTGTTAATATCGATGTTATCTAGTTGGCTACTGGTTGCATGGCTATCGTGTGCCATGCGTGTCTAACACTAACTAAAGTCGTACATTCTAATCGCAAACAGATACAAGTATAAGTCATACCCTCTGTATTTCAGTTAGTTAATTCCTTCATTGGTATCGAATCTTTTCTTTGGATCGTCGTTCGAGTTACAAACGCTCTCGTTTCTCGAAAGAATCAAAACAAAATTTCAAAGCGACTTGTGTCATCGACATAGCCAAAGGTTCTTGCCAATGATTACTTTTATTTCTTCTACAATGGGTTAATTTAATGCTCTGTTTCTCTTCTTTTCTTTCCCTCCTCTATGCCCTGTCCCGCTACTAAATTGCCATTATTTTCATTTTAACTGCATCGTTTCATTCACGTAATTGCATGGGCATATATACATATATATTATATTATATATATACATACACACACACACACACACACACGCACACGCACACGCACGCACACACGCACGCACGCACATAAACACACAGAGAGCAAGCATGGGGTAAAGTGCCGCGAAGAGATGTCTAGCCAGGCTTTGCTCTACGTACCTCCTATGGGAAAGGTCGTTTTGCCGCACTCCTACAGCTCACCGGAGTTACCTGTTCCTCCAATCGAAACCTCCACTTCGACACCTTTGGTGACTTTACACAATACCCCTCTAGTTTCACCGAACAGCAGAGCCCCGGATATCACGAACATTGTGGTCCCGGTCCCCACGATTCGTCTCCCGACATGCCCGACATGCCTCGATAACAATCCCGAAGAGGCCGACTCTCGTCTACGTTTTCAAAGTAAGAAATACGGACGTTCCCACACAGATACGATTCTCCCATGTGTCGCTTGCGAATTGACCGGTTCTATAAGATCTGGTTCGTGTGACAATCCGTTGGCAAAGTCTTTTCGTTTGTTATCCCATCGTGAAAGAGTCACAGGGACAGCAAGAGCTCAGTTCCAGCTCGGTAAACGGTCTCGTTCGTTGTCTCCCTATTTGCCCAGGTGTCTCTGTTATAATTGTAACGTGTCGGAGCTGATCTTAAGAAGCAGGGACCTGCCGCCCATGGAACGTTCCAATTTCGATACCTACTTTGCACGTTCGTTGTCCCACAAGTTCTTTAACTGTCCCTGCTATTTAAGCCCGTATCAGGGCGAATCGAATTGCTCCTCTTGCAGCAACTCCTCCTCCAACGACAGCTATGGAAATGCCAAAGAAAGTCCACAGTGTGCCAGTTGTGAAACGAAACTTGGCTGGTCCATCGAGCCTCGGCAAGGACGATGTCCAACGTCTTCCGATTGTTCCCTGTTAGGGTCCGGTGAACCTTCCGCGCGTAAACATCCGTCGTTCGAGGGAAGACAGAAGTGGAGGTTCGATAAGGAAGCTGTTAGGAGAACGTGCGGCGGTGGCTCTGCTTTTGAGAACGTTCGTCGACCAATTGGAACAATGTCGTGTCCCAATTTAAATAACTTTCTGCTCGGTGATTCGGTTTGCTCGACGGAGAACTTCTCGGCCGGTTGTTCCTTGGTACGCAGATGTTGTTCTTGTACAAATGTGACTCTCCAGTGGCGCAGTAGCCTGGCAGATATACCCGACCGTGTTAGTATGCTTTGCCATTCGTCCTCTGTGCACGGTAGCGATGCTCATGGTGATCACGACATCCCCCCGCGCGATTCTAACCATCGTTCCAAGTGTCCACGTGTACCGTTCTCCCGAGTCCAGCCTCAAAGATCCTTCTCGTCTCCAGACACACGACCTTCGATCATTCAACCTGACCCTACCTGCACAGCAAGGCGCCACCGTCACAGTATCTCCGGACAGATGAGTTATTTCAAGCTGTTGGGCTACAACATCAACAAAAAGCTGACAGGGTCAGCCAACAGTCTCTTCAGCACCGCGGTTATCAGCGGGTCCTCGAGTGCTCCAAATTTGAAGGACATGGTACCACCCCATGCGTCCGCTGTTGCCGGTGAGTTTCCTGTTTCGATTTGAAAATCCATGTTAAACTTGTACATAGATCGAAACCTATTTATTCTAACAAGCTACTCTCGATTCTGTTCTAATCAGCGATAGAAGGTTTTGGCGGTGTGCCACCTATAAGACCGTTGGAGACGCTTCACAATGCGTTGTCTCTTCGCCAATTGGACTCCTTTTTGGAAATGATGACCACGGCTCCCCTGTTTCGTACACCTGCCTCGTCGCCTCCAAAGTATCCGTCACCGGGTGGATCCACTCACGAATCTGTTAATCCCAGTCTCGGTGCCGGAGGAATCAATTGCGAGTACCACTCTTCCGACCTGGAGGCTGTCAGGTATCATAAGAAAAGATTAAATAAACCACCTTTGTGAGTATTAAAACTTTTTATGTTTCTTGTAATGGATCGCGTTTGTTTTTCGTTTTATCTCGCGTCCAGACTGCCGATCTTATGCGACAAGATCGAACAAATTATCGAACAAAGGAATAATTTCCTATATCTTGTAATCGACGCGAACGATTTTTATTTCGCATAAAGATCCGCAGTCTACTCGTATCGGTCTAACGCGTCGATTAATTTTCTCTTAGATACATCACCACGACTCCTATACAATACAAGTCTTCGAACGATGGAGAACCATGCGATATAAGGAACCAACTATCGCCGACCAGTCCCAACAGTGAGTACGTCTCTAATATAGTTCGATACGATATATACACGAGACAATCGTACCATGTAACTGTTTAGGTACCGGTTGGAGTAGCGAGCCACAGTCGTTCGTGTCGTCCGAACCGTCGTCTCCAGCTCCAACTTCCACGGGAGAATGCAGTATGTCTATAAGTTTGATCAGCAACGAAGGGTAAGCATTTAGGCTTGGTCCTTGCAGATAATCGGGTATCCAGTTACACTCGTTTATCCTAGCCTTTTTTTTTTTTTTAAAGTACTCGCCAATTTACTATTTGAAAATCAAGATTTACGGAGAAAATCTTAAACGGTAGATCTCCACAATTACTTGTACAAGGATAATTTTTCTTCTAGAGCGCAATCGTTCAACACTGGCCCTAAATATCCAACGACTCCTTGTTTGGACGTGGACTTCAACGATTTCTGCATGAACATCGATCAAGAACACAGGGAAAGTCGCGGCAGCGTATCGTACACGGACTATTACAGCAACGAGGATGGACAGATTCGAAAGTGCGCTTTTGGAACGAACTTTGGTAGCAATTTACAGAGAATGATACGCACCGATGATCTTCCTATCGACAACATGGACGACGACGAGGAACGTACGATAACGTTGAAGCAAACCGAAGAGCAAAAGAAGCAGGACGTCAAGCGAATATTTGAGCAGCAGGAAAAGTTAAAGATAAAACCTAGCACCAGCTGCAAAAAGATTGGAAGGTGGATATATATATATATATATATGTATATATCGTCTATAAAAGTGAACTCGAACGATCGAATAAACTATGCGCATACAATACGATTTAAGTTACACGTTTTTCTCTTTAGATTTCTGGTCGAAAGCATGGACATAGTGGACGAAGATGTTAGGATCAAAGAGCCAGACATTTCCGACAAAGCGAAACCATCTACCTCTCAGAAAGTTGAATCCTCGAATATCGATAAAGCTCAGAGGAGCAGGGACACCGGCACGGAAAAGACTTCTTCGTTGAACAGTTACAAGAGAAAGAATTTCTCTCGGTCGCAGAGCGTTTCCACTCCGAAAGCGGTCGTTCCGAACACCGAGGCGAATCTGAGTTACAAATGCGCGTCGAAACTGAGCTCGTTGTCGAACATGTCGGACAAGGATTTGGAAGAATGGAAGCAGATCTTGATCGACGCGAAGCCCCCTTCCTCGCCCTTGACGAGCGAAGAAGAGCCTATACTGACCGTGGCGAGCAGCTTAACGAACAGCTCCAGCGTGACCATAGGCTTCGATGTCCACGAAGAAAGCAAAGAATAGCTAAGAATGGCATAGTATTATATCTCGTTTGAAACTGGTGTATTAATATTAGAATATACTATTTTGGTAGACCGGCAACACTATACTAGAAGACGTAATTTTTGCATACACGGTTGTTGCTTGTAAACATAAACAGAGTCCGCAAGATCGAATTTCTATCACGCGTCTAATGGACGCACAACAATTTAGATACATCGTACAGCTTGTGCATTTTATAGTCGAAGAAAGAGAGATTCGTATTTTGTAGCGTTCTTAGATGAATTTTACTTTACACTTATTGTACAATACTTTAATTTTGATCCATGTTCCTTTAACTTTAGTTTCTCGAATAAGAGAACGCATAGACGTACTTTCCGCTGAAACAAAATAGTACCTATTGTTACGATTGCCGATTGCAAAGGAAATATTTAAACAAATTCGATAGCTATAATCTGTTGACGTCTCCGATCGATTCTAGGAGGAATTCGATTCTCGTACTTATAAATTAATATAAAGCCTAAAGGTATCGATTTTCTTTAACTCGTGCTTCTGCATACGTTGCTCTTAACTGTATCTTCGAAGGATAGGATGACGCGAAATTGATTATCGAAAAGAAATGTGTCATTGGTCGAACGTCAAATTAAGGTGAAAATTTGGGCGATCGAGTTCTTATTACTTGCTAAACAGCTATCGTTAACGTTTCTTCTAATTCGAGAACAATTAGGATATACCGCTACGTGTTTCCATGACCAAAACAAAAGGCAGAAGAAACCACTCGCAGTATTTTATGGTTTGCAATTTTAATTGCTATTAATTTTGCATTCGACTAAATTCATGTATATCCTATAATAGATAGATTATCGTGAACGTACAAACGCTAATAAGTACAAAGTTTCGTAATAGCTCTTTAACAATCTGACATTTGTTTCGGTGTAAATAGAAGATACATATATGTATACAATGTATATGCTATTTTTCTTACGAATGTATCGGAAAAGCTTGTTATCAGAGGAGATACGACAAGTTGAAAGTTCCAGAGATTTATTATGTTATCCTGACAATTGTTGCCTCGAGACGCGGTCAAATATTTAACGTGCTTTGAAAAAGTGACTCGAGTGTCCAGTTTTTTGGTCGCTCAAGCGTTCGCACCTTACTTCTAAGACCTTGCTTCTTATGACCTTACTCTAAATATTCCATCAAAAATGCGTCCGGTGTTTTTAATATTATAATTGCAATTGGCAGATCAACAATTANAAACCGAAGAGCAAAAGAAGCAGGACGTCAAGCGAATATTTGAGCAGCAGGAAAAGTTAAAGATAAAACCTAGCACCAGCTGCAAAAAGATTGGAAGGTGGATATATATATATATATATATGTATATATCGTCTATAAAAGTGAACTCGAACGATCGAATAAACTATGCGCATACAATACGATTTAAGTTACACGTTTTTCTCTTTAGATTTCTGGTCGAAAGCATGGACATAGTGGACGAAGATGTTAGGATCAAAGAGCCAGACATTTCCGACAAAGCGAAACCATCTACCTCTCAGAAAGTTGAATCCTCGAATATCGATAAAGCTCAGAGGAGCAGGGACACCGGCACGGAAAAGACTTCTTCGTTGAACAGTTACAAGAGAAAGAATTTCTCTCGGTCGCAGAGCGTTTCCACTCCGAAAGCGGTCGTTCCGAACACCGAGGCGAATCTGAGTTACAAATGCGCGTCGAAACTGAGCTCGTTGTCGAACATGTCGGACAAGGATTTGGAAGAATGGAAGCAGATCTTGATCGACGCGAAGCCCCCTTCCTCGCCCTTGACGAGCGAAGAAGAGCCTATACTGACCGTGGCGAGCAGCTTAACGAACAGCTCCAGCGTGACCATAGGCTTCGATGTCCACGAAGAAAGCAAAGAATAGCTAAGAATGGCATAGTATTATATCTCGTTTGAAACTGGTGTATTAATATTAGAATATACTATTTTGGTAGACCGGCAACACTATACTAGAAGACGTAATTTTTGCATACACGGTTGTTGCTTGTAAACATAAACAGAGTCCGCAAGATCGAATTTCTATCACGCGTCTAATGGACGCACAACAATTTAGATACATCGTACAGCTTGTGCATTTTATAGTCGAAGAAAGAGAGATTCGTATTTTGTAGCGTTCTTAGATGAATTTTACTTTACACTTATTGTACAATACTTTAATTTTGATCCATGTTCCTTTAACTTTAGTTTCTCGAATAAGAGAACGCATAGACGTACTTTCCGCTGAAACAAAATAGTACCTATTGTTACGATTGCCGATTGCAAAGGAAATATTTAAACAAATTCGATAGCTATAATCTGTTGACGTCTCCGATCGATTCTAGGAGGAATTCGATTCTCGTACTTATAAATTAATATAAAGCCTAAAGGTATCGATTTTCTTTAACTCGTGCTTCTGCATACGTTGCTCTTAACTGTATCTTCGAAGGATAGGATGACGCGAAATTGATTATCGAAAAGAAATGTGTCATTGGTCGAACGTCAAATTAAGGTGAAAATTTGGGCGATCGAGTTCTTATTACTTGCTAAACAGCTATCGTTAACGTTTCTTCTAATTCGAGAACAATTAGGATATACCGCTACGTGTTTCCATGACCAAAACAAAAGGCAGAAGAAACCACTCGCAGTATTTTATGGTTTGCAATTTTAATTGCTATTAATTTTGCATTCGACTAAATTCATGTATATCCTATAATAGATAGATTATCGTGAACGTACAAACGCTAATAAGTACAAAGTTTCGTAATAGCTCTTTAACAATCTGACATTTGTTTCGGTGTAAATAGAAGATACATATATGTATACAATGTATATGCTATTTTTCTTACGAATGTATCGGAAAAGCTTGTTATCAGAGGAGATACGACAAGTTGAAAGTTCCAGAGATTTATTATGTTATCCTGACAATTGTTGCCTCGAGACGCGGTCAAATATTTAACGTGCTTTGAAAAAGTGACTCGAGTGTCCAGTTTTTTGGTCGCTCAAGCGTTCGCACCTTACTTCTAAGACCTTGCTTCTTATGACCTTACTCTAAATATTCCATCAAAAATGCGTCCGGTGTTTTTAATATTATAATTGCAATTGGCAGATCAACAATTATACGTGTTTTCAAAGCATCGTTCAAAGTTCTGATGTTAGAAAATCTTACCAAAATTGATAAGTAATATTCCAGTTTTTCGCAAGCACGTGCAATTCATTTAGAAATTGATGTTATATCGTATGTACCGGGTTTCGGTGAGATTCTAGTGTAACGAATTGCGTTTGATAGATGTTTAAAGCGCATACGCATAGTTGGTGTAAAATAAATAAATCGTGAAAAATGGTGTAATCGTTTTCATTTACAACTTCCACCCTCCACCATCGTTTATCGTAACAAAGATGATTCGCGTACGATTATGGATTTAATCGAGTAGACTGTCGCCACCCGATGCTCGTCCGAAAAGTTCGAGGATGCGAAAGTAATATTTTTATCGGTATAATTGCGGTGTACTCGTTTTTAGAATTCGAAAAGAAATTATATTCAAATTTCTTCGTTTTGCACTGGATTGAAATTTGATTCAAACATCTAATATATACCGGAAAAAAGAACAAAATGGAAAGGGCATATCGAATTGAATTCTGTCGAAGAAATTATACATACATATTATCGGGACCCTGATCGTTGGCGGAGTAGCCGTTCGAAAGAAATAAGTTTCTAGTGGAAACGTTTCCCTAACACAGAGAGATCCCGTGACAAATTTGCGTAATAAGCTAAGAACCATTGGAAAAAGGTGGCAACCCCTGTGACGAAATCGCTTAACTTCTGGCCACAGTTTTCTGTGACCCCATTGCGGAATCGGGGGCTCGTCCATTGTTAGGAACGCGCGAGAATTAGATCGGACGAACACGTGCACCCTAAGGCCCAAGGCCTCTAAGGGGATCGTCCGTGTTCCGATTTCGAACATCCTCCGTGTTATTGCTGTGATTAGTTATCGAATTTGTTCGAAATCGCAAGGCCAAGCGGACAACGACCGATCGACCGAGCGAATCGACGACTATCGTCAAATTTTTTTTCTAATTTTAACGAGCGCTTTTTCGAATAATTTCATACTAATTTCCTATTTTCTTCAACTATAGTAAGAAGAACAACATCGATCGCAACTGCATTAATAATAATAATAACGATAATAACAACAACAACAATAATAATAGTAGCAGTAGTTATAGTAGTAATACTACAGTAATTATAGTAGTAATAATAATAATAATAATAATAATAGGAAACGGATCGTGTACCTACTTATTTCGAAAGCCTTGTTCTAGAGTCTAGAGTAGCTTTCATTGGAATTCTAGAAAAGCTACGCGAAATCCAGTGATGAAACATTTCAGCGCCGACGCTCGAGGCATCGATCCGAAGCGTCAGCTTGCAGTTATGGATACAGTATACACCTACAGTGCATATTACTAGGCTCGAATTAAAGATCCGCCGATGCGTTCAACGGATACGAACCTACAGATTATGTAGCGCACAGCACATGTCCGATTAATGTCGCATCGCTGTCTTTTCTTCGCGACTTTTCTTCCAAGCAAACGATTGTTCTTAGCTAGACGGTGGTTCTCGTCTGGATACGACGATCTCTCAAATTATTGGCGATCATTCTTCCCTGGAATAGAGAAAGAATAGAAAGGGTAGAAAGGGTAGAGAGCATAGAATAGATAGAAAAGATAGAGAAGATAGAAAGGATAAAGAGAACCGAGGATGAAAAAGTACTTGAAAATCTAGCTGTGTCCATGAAAATTCGGCGGATGATTGTAATTTCGAATAACAGAGCGACGCGACAACAGCGGGGAATGACGAGAGCAGGGGCGATCCCGTTAAAATGACTTTTCGTGGCCGAATATTAATAAGTTTACGCACCCCCCGGCACGGTCTCTCCAGCCGGAGTGACACGATCACAATAGGATTCGACACGTTGATATTCCGCGCGGTGTTTAGACACGTTCGCGAAGGGAAAAAGACTCTCGCGTCAAGTGAATCGGCTAATATCTATTTAATTAATTTTGGGGGAGACCACCCTCCGCTCAACAATATGCTACCCTTCCAACGGAGAGTCCGTTACAATTACAACCTTTCGAGCTACGGCCGCTCGATTTATGGGCCAATTTGTCTCGAAATCGACGTTCCTCGAGGATAAAGACAACACCGATTCTGCCCGGAAAATATAATATTGGAACGCGAGGTTATCAACGTTGCAACTACCGAGATATAAAACCGACCGTAAACTTGTACTTAATCCCTTCTAAAAATAATTACAATCCGTAGTCTGTCCAGCGAATCCAAACGAATCGGTTTTTATCAGTAATAAAGAACTTAATTTTTAGTTACAGCTACAATAGCAATTGTACACGACGATCTTCCGTCGAAAATTTGATTAAAAAATTCGGAGTTATGCAACTCGAATATGTACCTGATTCGCGTTTCTCGATAATGTTCTTTGCATCGCGGCTTGTTTCTGCTTAACGCGAAGTCGCGAAATATCAAACGATAAGAAAAGTCGGCTTACTCTCGAAACGAGTTTAACGCGAAACTGTTTATCGAACGGATCACGATAGAATACGTTTTAAACGATGTATCGCGACCAAGTAAAAGCTAGAGCGTTCGGTGTACAGTGTGAAATATAAAGTATAAAGGACAAAGTATAACGCGCGATAATAGGATAAAGTTCTCGGACGATTGCCCTTCGTTGATGACACGTGGCATACGAGATACGGCATGCGGTATAGGTGCTGCATCCGTGAAACGAAACGGAAGGGGATGAAAAAAGGAGCGTAACGAAGACTCGTTTGGGATGAACTCTTGTCGACAAATCGTTCCCAGTATCGTTGGTTCTTTTGCGAAAGGAAGCGCACTTTCGTGAAAATCGGCGAAAACATTTCCCAAAAAGAAACATGTAACCCGAGAAAATAGAAGCTGGGATATTCGAGAACGAATTCCAACCGGTTAATAAAGATGAATCAAGATTAACGTTAGAACTACCAGACCCGGTGAAACGACGACGGATTCCATATGCTTTCTTTCACGATCGTCGAGAATCCATTTGTTCGGACGCGAGTACTTTATAAGACAGATCGTGCAACGACTCGATAAACGGATTTTTGTTGTTTCGAAAAGTAAACGGTGATCTAGGCCCGATGGTTCTAGCGTTAACAAACGTTTCTACAGCCTCGAGAGACTCGGGTAGACAAAGTCCGAGTCTAACGTGGAGAAAGAAATGTTTATTTGTTGGCAAAAATCAACGAGATAGACTCGAGAAAGAAAAATCGCGGTACCAGGAGGATGGCATGGCATGCCGAAGAACGTCGAAGGAATAGTTTGTCCATCTTTAAAATACCACGGTCGATAATCCTGAATATAGCGAATTCGGATATTAGCAGTGCGAACCCCAACCGCGTAACAGGAGACAAAAGCGACGATGGTTTCGCAAAGGCTCCGCCCGTTCCCTGGCCCCTCGGCCAATCGCGATCGTTTTCGAAACGTGTACAGGGGTGAGTTCGCCGAATGAGAACGCGGGACCGTCGCGCAAGCGTCCGAGAACGGTGAATAAACGTGGCTGCGGAGGGTGGTGTACACAAGGGGGCGGGTTCAAACGTTTAGGAGCCCGATAAGCTCTGGTCAAAGGTTGCTTCGACATCCTCGGATCGAAGGTGACACTTGTCCTGGTGACGAGCAATTGTTTCCAACACCATCGTCCGCGGCGGCAAAAGCCTTTTCTTTTCATTTTTGTTCATCGAGAAGATCCGAGCCGCGTCCCGAGCTTGCTCGCCGCTGCTGGACAGAACGCGGGATATGAGCTACACCGAACCGCTGTGGGAGATCAATGGAAATCAAGCACCAGTGAGTATTATCGTTCGATTCTTTTACGCGTTCGTATCGGCGATCTAAATACATATACGTACGTATCGGTCGACGGCTTCGCGGCTAGACGAGAGTTCCAGCTGGTCTTTTTAGCCGGAAGTTACGATCCTAAACGGTGTATCGGTCCGATACCTGGACCCCGGAGTAAAGACCAGAGTCAAAGAGTACAAAGTCATAGCCGCCTCTCGGAGTTTTGAAGCTTTACGACGAGGTAGTTTCACAGTTTCTCGTTCACTGAACTAGAACCAATTCGGTACCGGTGCGATATCATTTTTCTGGGATTAAAGTTCGCTTCTAAGTGGATGCAACGATATCGGGTCCGCGTATCGACTCGACGAAACGATCGGACATCATTTCGTATAAAATCTGTATTTTCGGTCGAGCGAACGATCCTTGCCGTAAACGAGATTAAATAGGAGTAAATGAAATAGGTGATTACAGCGGACATGTCGCAATACGTGAGCGGGGAACTCGGCAGCTACCCGATGTGGGACAGTTCTGTTTTGTATCAAGCACCACCGCCATCGCATTCCCACGTCAACGATCACGGACTGTATAGACAACCGTGTGCGTTATTGCATCAAAGGTAATCCATATTGTAACAAAAACTGTCTGTGCGAGCTTTCTTTCGTTCAGCGTTGGCAACTTCGGCGCCAACTTCGAAACGAGCTTATTTCGAACTCGAAAACTTCAAGCACGACTTGCAACGGCGCGGCGCTGCGACTCGCAGACATCTTTCAAATTCTCCTGCGAACAGTCTCTATTCGTTATTCGAGCATCTCGATCGATCTCTATTTCGAATTTTAACTTACCATTTACAGATTTAACCTTGGCATAACCTTGGCATAGAATATAGGATCTAGAAGATAAAAGATGGAATATAGAATATAGAATACAGATCTTACGCGATTTCTTCGAGTCCTTGCTAAAATTCGCTCGATTTCAGTCGATACACATCGAACGGGAGATCACCGAATCTTCCATCTTCTACCACGAAGAAACCAAGGCGTCGAGTAGCGACCGTTTCGCAAAGAAGAGCAGCGAATATTCGTGAAAGGCGAAGAATGTTCAATTTGAACGAAGCATTCGACAAACTCCGCAGAAAAGTGAGTTTCCGTCAGAGTTCCCTCGATTTCAAGTTTAACGATCGAAAAATAACCATAAAATAGCGCCATCTACGCGGAAGGACTTTCTTTGGATCGGCCGACGCTCTTCTGGTCGACCAGAATCTTGAAACTCTAGAGAATCCTTCGTTGGAATGCTTGTTTCTCTGAAAATACATATATTTTGCAGGCGTCTAACTGTAACTATTTCTATCGGTTTTTTCTTCAGGTACCGACATTCGCGTACGAGAAACGGCTGTCAAGAATCGAAACTCTACGTTTGGCGATCACCTACATCGCGTTCATGGGGGAACTGCTTGGAATCGAACCGAGCAGTCCGAAGCCGGAATACATACCACGAGAATATTATTTGCCGAATTGAACCGTCGTTGCGCCAGTCGTCTCGTCGGTCTGAATTTTTTAAGATGCTCGTTAAATATTTACAAACAGAAATCGTTTCGGTACGAGTACGACGACGCGCGGAATCACCGGAGAAACCTAATTTAGGATGCGACGATACACGGTGACTCTCGATGCGTTTAAACTTTTAACCGTATGTACTACGCGAGTAGGTATTGTGATCCGAGTGTCGATACCGCGATAAGAATAGTCAAAAGAACTCTTCCATGACAAAGAAAACATTAAACAGTATTTAATGTTTATGTGATTTTACGATGTAAGATAAAAATCCGTGTCTTCCGTAATTTATGCAAGTTTGCGCATTATATACATATTGTCATTATATTTCAATATAACACGTATACAATGATTCTTCTCCATCCTCATTCATCTCCCATCGATAAATTTCTTCGCGGAACTTTCAGACGTATGTACATACCGAATTGAACGACGAATTTCTTCAAATTCTATTGAAACGGTAAAAACACGAAATTGTAATACGTACGCGCCGTTGCAAGAATTTCCGATAAGATTTGCCGGGCTTCAACGGCTTCCGTAGAATAACGTGATGTCGTTGAAGACACCCTTGAACAAAGTCACGCGATAGGGATAAAGTTAGGTCGTTGGACGCCATTTTTCTTCGCGTCCATGTGTCGTCCGCGCGCACGTGCGGTAAACACAATCAAATAAAATGGCAACACAATCGTGTCGTACCATTGTACAGATATTACTCGTGCGTAAACAGCACGATTGGTGGCAGCACCAATCAGAATCGCGGACGTTATCGGGTGAGTCTTATTAGCTCAGGCCTAAGCTAAGGACACCCTGTACATATAAAGTTTACCTTTGTTCTATTGGCCGAAGCGGTCACACACACGCGCACGCAAACCACGCACGCGCGCGTGTGCTAATCAGAAGTATGTAACGGTAATCGAGATGCGGTGGAACAGCATAGTGTAGCAGCGTTAGCGGTGGGGGATAGGCGGGCCTAACGACGAGCCGCCGCTTTCCTCTGTACCGTCGCGCGGTACGTATGAAAACCATGAAATACCGAAGGAAGATAAACTTTTCGAACGTTTAACGAAGATTTGAGCAGCATTAAATGATCTCGAACGATCTTCAAAGACCAAAGTATCGGATCGATGAATTCACCTCGTGAAATGGTCTATCTGCTTACATAAAAAGAAACATACAGTTCCATTACAAAAAAAAAACACCAAGGTAACCCTAAAATTTCGAAAGCACGTCCACAACGATGTCCTCCTCGAAACTGGGTAAATTTTATTTGACACATTTTTTTAAACGAACTATAATTTAGGAGATACTTGTACATAGATTTTTACCATAAAATATTTTAAATTTGCCGCATTTCAAGGGCCCGTACAGAGCCATTACACGTAATCGGAAAACGCTTAAACTTCTAATCAAAATTACCAACAGAGTAAAATACTCGCTGCGAACGCAGTTGGTAATTTACCTCCACTAACATAGTTTTAGGTTTAAATTATATAACATATGGTAGAAAATAAATTGATTCGACCGACTTATATCTTAGAATCGTTACAATTGGAAACAATTTGAACACATTATTATGTATGACTGTGTATAATATGTATAGATAATTTAACAGTAGTTCAGTCAACGTATAAAGACTACACCACACAGAAACACACGATAAAAAGTTGTATAAACCAATGATTAATATAAAAAATAAGTACTACAATGATTGTTTTTTCACTCTTAACAAGTTCTTATTTTCCCGATCAAGAAAATCTTATTCTTATTCTGATATTACTATTATCAGTCAATTCTTTAGTACAATTATTCGATAATAATAAAATTAGCTACAATTATTTCAATGGATTGTGCAAACAATTTTTTTTTTGTTCCAGCCAAATTTAAAATGCGTTATTCACTCTATTCCTGTATGAGCATACACGTACGTGTGTAATATTATAATGAATGTCTTGTAGTCCGGTACAGTTCATTTCAGAGATATAAATTTTAACTAGAAAATTATTTAATACAGTCTAAGCGGACTTTTGTTTCTATCCTAGAAATAATTCTGGTTTCATCGAAAACGAATGTTATCTACCACCCTCGTAGCCTGGGTAAAGTAACGACAAAGCAGACGATAGGGATTGATTAACTTCCATCTTATAATTTTTGTCTAGTAAATGTCGGCACGATGGACAACGACGTACGCCGGACGAAAAGCTACGCTTTAAACAATTGAGACAAATATTATGAGCGCAAGAAGTTGTTACTGGATTGAACACCAATTCCAAACAGCAGGAACAGATAAATCTGAAATAAAACAATTAAGAATCTAACTTCCCAGAAAAAAATGTGTGTGTGTGTTTATTGGTAACAATCTACAGTACCTTTCTGACACTTGTTGCAAAAACGCAGCTTTCCCATCTGACAAAACTCTGCGACATTCGTCCCACAATTTCGCATTACTCTGATCTTCGTCAACAAATTTCAATACTTCTCTCTCTATTTCATAAACTTCGCGCTTTTGCTTTTTCTTTGGTGGTTCTTGCTTCTGTGAAGCAATTAAGTTGTCTATCCCCTCTGTTAACTCGTTTCGTTTCTTGCCAGTCTTATTCTTTGCCATTGCTTCCAAGTATCCATCTGGATACATGGGTTTGAAACCAAGCGCAGTTATTCGTGCTTTACCCTCTGTGGTCCATGGGGCGGGTGCTGGATCGTCCCTTCTTAACAAGTATCTCCACACCCGAAAACCACTTTTACCTGTATCTGGATAATACTTGACTACCTTGTAAATTCCATCGTATCTAAGACAAAATACTGTATTAACTATAACGATAAAACGCTAATATGTACATACAAAGAATAAATTACGAGTAATATTTCTATACCTATTTCCTTCTTCGGGCGCGTATTTACTGTGTTTAGCAAGTTTAAAATTTCTGACTACTCTAACGGGTATACCACCCGTCCAGTCTTCGGCTGTAGCACCAACTGTTGCATTCAGCTTGGCATTACAATTTATAGCCAACGCTTTATTCATTCTAGTCAATGTTTGATCGCAACTTTGTTCGGCTGTTCTTTTGTTGCCTTCGTGGATATCAATAATATTTAATGAAGATATAATAAATGAAAATAAAAACAACTCGCTTACCTGACAAATCCCTTCCTCCCGAACCGGTATACATAAATTCGTCACCATTATCTATATCATCCTCGTATCCACCAGACAGCACGATAGAATATGCACAGTCTGTTTCTCGTCCGTGAATTCCAGCTATGTGCGGTCTGTGTACTCCAACTTCAGACACCTAGAAATTCGATTCAAAATATTTAGTTTATCTCATCGCGATATTGAAAAGTGCTTCGAACTTTTAATTACCTGTACTCTGTACATCCAACACATTCCAACTTCTACACCTGGAACAGGTCCACGATGATTAGGAGGAACGATACTACATTCCTTTGTTCTTCCCACGCACGCCATTCCTTTGCCCCAATCCCGTTTACTATTAGCATTTTCATTCGTTTTCTTTTTCGTTTGCTTGAGTTTATCGCCTGCCTTTAAAAAATGATTATTTATACGATCGTAAATAATACTACAAACCTAAAATATACTATATAATGAATAACCTTCACAATCTCGTTTTCATCATTTTTACATTCCGGGCAGTACCAATAATCTTCTTCTGGTATAGAAGTTAACGGAGGAGTCAAACATCCTAGATGATACGCAGAGTTACATTCGTCGCATAATAAAAGATTGTGTTCATCCTCTTTTCCAGCACAGATTCTGCAACCGCATTCCCTACACTTTTTACGAGGATTATCCGAGCATGCATTACAATTAGCTTGCACACGTCTTCGTTTACCATTACTAATCATTTGTTGCTCTTCTTCGGGGGTTCTTTCTTTAAGAAGTTTAGGTTCCTCTATCGCAAAAATCTCACCTTTGGGATTTACTTTGCGATTTTCAAGAAGTTGATCCCTGTTTAAATAAAACCAAATAATACGTATAAAAGCTAATTAGGTTTGTAAGTAGCGTATTAACGATGTATGAAATTATCTACCTTCCGATATGTAAGATTCCAACAAGCGTTTGCACTCTTCTTTTCTTTTCTATTTTTGATATTAAAAAGTCGTACCATAAACCTGTTTCTTTAGGATCGTCGACATTGTAATTAATCATTACTTTCTGACCTATTTTTAAAGTCTCAAAACCCAAGAGACGTCTAGCACGTGGTCTTATCGATGTTTCAGGTACGTTAAAGGGTGGAGCTTTATCGTCAAATTCCCATTGTACATTATAAAATAGCTTGTCTCCTTTCTGAAAAATTTTTAGTATAATTGCCTCGAACCAGGCTCCGTAAGTTTGATCCAGGCAATCCACGGCATCTCCAATTTTATAATATAAACTTTCAGCCTCGACAAGTCCTTCGTCTTCATTAGAATTCTCTACAGCTTCTTTAGAATCCGAGTTAGTAGATATATTAGTATTACTAGAGGTAGGTTGTACTTCCGCTTCGTCAACATTTACTCTGACCATTAACTGAATAACATCGTTTAAGTTCACATTGTAATCGTATAGCTTGTAACCATTTTCTAATTGTTTCCCACGAAAAAATAATCTTTGTGTATCAGCTTTTACATTCAATTCTTTTTCTATTTCGCTCTGAAACAACATATTAGAGATGAATATGTATAGATACGAGTAATATTTATGGGAAAACGTTGATGTTTTCAAATCAAATACTATTCATCCTATGGTTAATATTTATTTCCGAGATATTACCAAACAGAACTATAACATACATTATACGCAACATTAACGTAATAATAATAACGGAAAAATCCTAAGAACATGGCCTACTCGATAATTTGAACATTTCTAATTCATTTGTTGAAGAATGACTTTCTATTTATTTGCACAAGATCAAGTAACACCTACCTTGAAATCTTCCACCTCCGTCAATTTCGAGATGGTCAATATTGCTTCCTGTTTACCATCAATCGTTCTCACTTTAACGTACATTTTTTATGCGTCCCTTCAGAATTAAATAATGACAAGAACAAAATCTCGATTACTTAAAGTGCCTGAGTGTTCGCTCATAAACAAAATACGAAACTAAAGGAATAGTGCAATACATTGATATCAACAACAGTTACAAATAAATCGTAACGGCTCACTAGACTTACTCATTACTAGCTATTAGTAGCTATTGCCGCTGTCACCGCTGGTCACACCGCTAATCTCACAGTTGCTCACAGTTTTACCCAGTCTCACCACTTGTTTGTTGGCGCCTCGTAAAAATGGAATTTGGCGGGAAGAAATTATGAAGACCCAAGGCGGAAGAATAGAGGAACGAAACGGGAATGACGTGTGGTGTCGGTTTTACTTCTTTTTCATTGGTGGAATTATTTGTGGACTTAAGGAACAAACTGTACTATGTATAACATTCGTTATGTTATAGAAAGTTGGTTATTTTATTCTAACTGAGCCATATTAATTAATATAATATTCTGAACTTATATGTATATTCTTTTTGAAGTAAATCAAATATCGTGTAATAAAACAATTGTGTTATGATCTTAAAATGTTTTTTAAACAATACACACTGTACATATTATCTTCTTCAATTTTGGGCATCCCTTTATTACATTTTTGTTTTCTACATTCTTCAAAATCAGAGTATAAATTGTATAAAAATGTTACAAATTTGTGTGTGACATTTGTGTAATTTTTATACACATTCCGTCGATGTGTTTCCCTGCTCTTCCCTGATTCAAATTCTTGATCAGTTCATTAAATGGATTGATAAATTTATACGAAATGTACATTGCATTTGAAAAAATTTGTACAGGAACGAATTGCATTCAGTTGAATAAACTGTAACTGTATCGGAGACTGTCCTCGTTTTTTGCTTAAAAAATTATACTACTACAATTCCTTGTGCAAATCTAATTCATTTCAATAATTTCCCAAAGCTTTAATACAGTCGGAATCAAAATTATCGAAAATATAATTGATGTGTTTAAAATAGGAATACTGCCGTGTATGGATGAAAGTAGTACATTGCAGTTCCTAAACATCTGTAGAACTACAGAATATTTAAATTATTACTGCATAGTTATACACAATGTACATATAGCTTACATATAATATTATATTGAAACGCGATTGATACATACCATTCGGAGCAGAACTTTAA